GGTTTAGCGCTGCGGAAAGGGGTTGGAGAGCCCGTGTGGCGGTGTGAGGGAGCCCGAGCTCTGCGGGGACAGGCGGGATGCGCGGGCGCCGCTGGAGCTGGGCCCGGCGGCTGGCGGCGTCCCGAGAGCGGCGGCGCCGGGCGGGACGGTTATCGCTCTAACGTTAACACCGTGATGTCGTGATTCGGGGAATCGTTTGTCACCCAAAGGCTTGGGCGTGGGCTGCGAAATCTGTTTGAGGAGGAGAGTTTCTGAATCAGGTAAGCTGCTGAGTGCCCTTTCCTCCTGGGGATAGTGACCACACGTGGAGAAATCCTCTGAGTTCAGGTAAACACATGAGAAAACTATTTCTGTTTAATTCATTAGGGTGTCTGCTCGTGTAATATTGGAGATAAAATGGATAAAGTGCACATATTGTTCTCTAGCTTAGCTTCTGGAGTTCCCTTTATATAAACCAATGTGTGCACTTTATGAGAGATGCTCCGTCCTCTCTGCTATTCAGAAGCATGCTAAATGACACGCCCAAATTCTAGTTTTTGCTTGGTTTTTGTTTTGGGTTTTGTTTGTTTGTTTTTTTATTTCTTTGTTCTTTTCTTCAAAAGAACCCAGACACTCACAAGCATCTGCTCGGGCCGGTTGCCTGGCTGGAAGTTTGTGCGTATGTTCCTGAAATGTCGCTGCTGGTCGGCACTGACTGACTCGTATTTTTCCAAGCAGCCCAACGTGAACTATTTGAAGAAGGAAGTTCAGCCCCCACGTTATGGAATTATCTGGCTAATTGCAGAAAATCACCACCACGCCAGGGCACGTGGTTGTGCGAAGGGCTGTGAGGAGGTGAGATGTTTGTGAATCACGAGCTGGGCGCTGAGGAGAAAAGGGGAAGTGCCCTCAAATAAGCAGCTGACTTTGAGAAGGAACTAGTGTTTCTATGAGCTTTGGTCGTCAGATTTTATTAAAAAAAAAAAAAAGTCTGGAAACCACATGTTTGAACTACTTAGAACAACACAAGACAGAAAAAGGTTTTGTGCATCTAGAGCAGTGAAACATAAGATACTTCCCTGTGCCCTTCACTCAATATTCACCATGTAGCAGACAAATTAGGGTCTGTTTTGTTCTTACGTTAGTATCAGCCAGGAATATTAGCGACCGCGAGCACCTTCAGTTCTGCAAAGGCCACCACATGATACCTGGTATGACTATAATTAAATTATTTTTTGCAATAATCCCTGATTTTTTACTACCTAACTTTGAAATAGGTAAGTGGTGTTATCCCTAACAATGCAAAAGGCAAGAAGAAATGTATTTTAAAAGCCTGAACATGGCCTTAAAGAACAGCACAAATTCCAAAATACCATGGAAACAAAAGCTATTTCTCAGAAGAAACATATAGAAAAAATCAATTGCTTATTTGTAAATTTATTTCTCAATAATAATAATAAATCTTTATTGCAGTGCACATTAGTGTAACCTTGTTAAGAAGACTGGGTGACATTTCTACTATGTTTGATTTCAAGCAATTGTTTGGAAAGAGTCACCCAAACAACAGGCTATGACAGGGCTGCGGTGGCTTTAGGGTCCCACATGTAAATAAGGCCACCCCACCATTGAGCTGTGCACAGTGCCCCACTGATCTCCCTGGGGACATTATTTATAGAGCCTCTACTCCTTTAATGGGGCACGTTTTCTAGTTTGTTACTAAGACTTACTGACCAATTCTGACAGCTTGACAGAATTTGTAGCTTATCATCTTTGCAGGACTGAGACAAAATCTTTAAAGCTTTTTAAAATGGGTTACAGAATTTCTTTTCTTTTCCCCATAGAGAAAGACTTAGTTTTCCATTTCACTCGTGGTATGAACACTTTAGGTGCAGGTATAGATGTTAAACAGAGCAATAGGGGTCATAAAAAAAGGCAAGATAACACTCTTAAGTGCTATAAATAGTGAATTTCTTCAGAAGTAGCTTTGCAGTCCAGCACAGATACCTACTGTTACTTCCCCAGGCACAGATAAGGACTGGATGGTGCTTTCTTTTTTTAGCTGTGATGATGGCAACTGATAACAAAGCTCAATGGAAAAGTCATAAAGAGATCATGGAAAACAGAAATTACACCTGGCAATCCAATAAAAAGGGCGTCTGATTATCTAGTGATCACACAGGTAGACTTTTACTGCTGGCACTGAAAACATTCATTCCTCGCTTGCCTTTTTTTTTTTTTTTCCTCCTCTTTTTGTTCTATTACTTGAATTTTTAAATTGAAATTAATTCAGTCCGTGTATTCCTAAACCAGAGGACTGGGTGAGTGCACTTCAGATGTTTTCACATGGTTCAGTGTTCTGTACATGTTTCAATCTTTATGTACCTATATGTTTTGCACTGTGACTAATAAAAATAGGATGGAATGTATTTTAAAATGTGCAGAGAGATAAACCTATCTAAAACTGTTTGCCATACATTGTGAAAGATCACTTTATCAGGTTTGAATAATAAATGTTGTAAGTAAGCACAGTCGCCAAAGTGTGAACCAGCAGGCTGCCATGCTTTAAAGTGCAAACCTCAACACTTTTTAATTTCAAACTTGCATCTTTGCCACCACTGTAATCAACAACAACACAACAATGGGCTTTCTGTAAATGTGAAATAAGTTCCAAGACTAAGGCAGATTTTTAGCCTGAAAATGTTCACCCAAAGGAGCAGAAAGCAATGAATGTCAGCTAGTGCTGCATTCTGGTTAAGTTTGTACAAAACGTGGAGTCTTAGGTTGCATAGAGATTGCTTTAGCGACTGCAGTGCCTTAAAAAACATGGATTAATATGCTAAGTGCGAATATGAAAGTATTTTGAGAGAAGAAAGCAGACGCACAAGGAATCATGGTTATAATTATTGCAGTTTTGACCTCAAGCAAGAATTAGAGCTAGTTTTCCCAGGGTGTGTGTACAAGAATATTAGCTTTTATATATGTACATAAATATGTATATGAAAAACAGTGTTTGTGTTTCTTTCATTAAGATACCCATATGAAGAGTTCCTGCATCCTTGGCTGCAAGCATAACTTCCACCTATAGTCTGTGTGTAGGGGTGCACGTAGCACAAAGAAACACCCTTATCTGTACAGTCTGCCCTGGCCTTATCTTTAGGGACACGACTGTAATTACACCGATAAACTCAACAAGCGTTTGCTGCTCTGGGTTGTGTTGTCTGTCCCAGGCAGTCGAGGCTAGAGAAGTGTTTGGCTCCTGTGTCATGAACTCCTGCAGCCAGGACTACCTGCATGTCTCGTGCTGCAGCGTCATTTCTGTTTCATAGAATCACAGAATCCTTAAGGTTGGAAGGGACCTCTAGAGATCATCTAGTCCAACCCCCTGCACACGCAGGGTCACCTAGAGCACGTGGCACAGGACTGCGTCCAAGCGAGTTTGGAAGATCTCCAGAGAAGGAGACTCCACAACCTCTCTGGGCAGCCTGTTCCAGTGCTCTGGCACCCTCACTGGGAAGAAATTTTTCCTTAAGTTCCTGTGGAACTCTTGGTGCTTCCCTTTGTGGCCATTTCCTCTAGTTCTGTCGGTGGCCACCAGTGAAAAGAGGCCAGCACCTTCCTCCTCACTGCCTCCCTTGAGGTACTTCTAGACACTGCTCAGGTCCCCTCTCAGCCTTCTCTTCTCCAGCTGAACAGGCCCAGCTCCCTCAGCCTTTCCTCACAGGGCAGATGTTCCAGGCCCCTGATCATTCTCATAGCTCTGCGCTGCCCCTCCAGCCTTCTCTTCTCCAGGCTCAACAGGCCCAGCTCCCTCAGCCTTTCCTCACAGGGCAGATGTTCCAGGCCCCTGATCATCCTCATAGCCCTGCGCTGGACTCTCTCCAGCAGCTCCACATCCTTCTTGTGTTGTGGAGCCCAGAACTGGACACAATACTCCAGATGTGGCCTCACCAGGGCTGAGTAGAGGGGCAGGATCCCCTCCCTTGACCTGCTGGAGTATGCTTGTGGATTAAAGTCTTTAGACCTAACCTGTTAGAAGAAGAGATTTACCCAGTGCACTTGATAAAACAAAGTTGCATATTAAAAAAAAAAAAAAAGTTGAAAAACTTATCTGCAAAGCTGCACGTGTGTTTATATGCAGCTTTTAGAGTGGAGAGTTGGGAGAGGGAGCAAAATGCAAAGCTGTGTGTTGAAGTAACTATATTTGGAAAGATGAACATTTTTCACATAAACATCTGAATTGATGCTCTGGGGCTAAAGGTTTTCCAAAGGGCCATCTGTATATTTAATAAGTTAATTGTAGAGTATGTATGTAATTCCTCCATGCCTGTGTAGTAACAGCCTCAGCGATGGTTGCGTCTTTGTTACGCGCAGGGGAGAGCACAGTGTATTGGCAAAATCATAGAATCATAGAATGCTTAGGGTTGGAAGGGACCTCTAGAGATCATCTAGTCCAATCCCCTGCACACGCAGGGTCACCTAGAGCACGTGGCACAGGGCTGCGTCCAAGCGGGTTTGGAAGATCTCCAG